TGCCTTCTTTCTAGTGAGTACATTTGGAGGGCTTTAAGACGATCCCAATAATTTAGGTGCTTTATCGCGTCTATGCGTGCTGTATATGTTCTCTGTATTCCCTTTATTTCAGCAATCTCTCCTGCTCTTAAGGGGGAAGTGAGTACTGAGCAGTACTCAAGACGGGACAACACAAGTGACTTGAAGAGTACAACCATTGTGATAGGATCCCTGGATTTGAAAGTTCTCATAATCCATCCTATCATTTTTCTGGCTGTCGCAATATTTGATTGGTTATGCTCCCTAAACGTTAGGTCGTCAGACATCATTATTCCCAAATCCTTTATATGCAGTTTTCCTACTATGGGCACATATGATTGTGTTTTATACCCTGTATTATGTTTAAGGTCCTCATTTTTACCGTACCCGAGTACCTGGAATTTATCACTGTTAAACATCATGTTCTTTTCTGATGCCCAGTCGAAAACTTTATTAATATCAGCTTGAAGTTTTTCAATGTCGTTAGCCAAGGTAATTTTCATACCGATTTTTGTGTCATCTGCAAAGGATGATACGAAGCTGTGACTTGTATTTTTGTCTATATCTGATATGAGAATAAGGAAAAGCAGCGGTGCAAGGACTGTACCCTGAGGTAGAGCTTGGCTCTGGTGCTAGCTACTGCTGTGCTCGTGCTGTGTACAGCTGTGCTCGTGCTGTGTACAGCTGTGCTTGTGCTGTGTACGTTTGTGCTCGTGCTGTATACGGCTACTAGTTCTTGCCAAATATTGACTTTTTGGTATTAATAAGGCACTATTAGCAAGCCCCTGAGACATCTTGTTGTATGACAATGCAGCTGTAGTCAAAAAATGATACACTGTAAATTCCACAATTATTCTTCCACCAGCGGACAAACACATCACTCGCCAACAAAGCTAATGGCACTGGGTGCCTGCTGTATGAATGGAAACTAGGTCTATACACTCTACAGTAGGCTGGTGTTTGAACCAGATCCAATAACATAAATTTCTCTCATATTGGATTTACATCAAATTATATACTTTTGGGCTATATATTTAGTTTAGCAACATAATTACAGTACTATAATAAGAGCTATAAAAAAAATACTTATTTTAGAACCGTTTTATTAATTTTATTATTTCGAAGCCGTAGGTCACTTTTCTGTGGCAACAAAATCGGACAAAACACACATGGTCATGTGCACACGGATTAGACCTGTCCATTCACGCTGGAGTGGCTGTGCGAATAACATGAATAATTTCTCAAATAGATGTCTATCATGTTACATTATATTTTTGGTTTTAATTAGTTTAGTTTAATTCGGTTGATAAAGAGCTATTAGAACACCAGTTTTAGAAATTATTTATTAATATGAAATTTTCAAAGTCATGAGTCACTGAACAATGACGACACAGACGAAAGTGAGTGAAACCTCATTGTAAAGTAAGATTTACAGGACAGTATTCCCTTATCTTTCCACCCTCACTCATTTTGTTTCATCACAGAAAATGTATACAAGATTTCAACACATTAGTTAGCTATTCACAGCTTCAGCTTTTAAATTAATCTACTGTACAACGATATATGTGCCACAAATCAGTGAACAAAAATCATTGAAACTCAATCGTTCACTTGTGTGGACCACTATGGCTGGTGTTTGGTTCATATGGTTCACTTGTTGTGTGGTCCACTTGTGTGATCCAACTTGTCGCATGAAAGAATTATTAATTGTAACCTGTGATAAAATGGGAAAGTTTTCCACCAGTCTGTGAACTCTGTCCCGACATCGTAAGCAAATCCGCACATCCCTCGCTTTGGTGAACCAGAGTACGTCGAACTGGGTGAGTAAATCCAGCCTAAAAAGTGTGCGACCTAGCTGGAGATGTGGTGAATCGAGGTTGTCCTGTACAGTGGAACCTCGGTGTATAATTTTAATCCGTTCTAAGAAATACATTGTAACCCAAATATTTGCACACCGAATCAAATTTCCCATAAAAAATAATGTAAGTTGTATTACTCTGTTCCACACACCCAAAACTATTAACTTAAAATACATTTTATACAGAATTATAAAGAATACTGTACTAATATTTTTTTTACTGCACTTTACTTTTATTACTTGTTGGCATATGGAAGACAGTGAGGAGGGGAGATGTTAGTGTTTGGAAAGGATGTCTTCTTCCATTATACCAGGCAGTGATGACATTTTTGGGGTACTCTCTTTCCTATGTTTTGTAGGCATAAAACTAGGACCTGGTTGTGGCTCACGACTTGCTTGTCTCATTAAGAGCCTGTCAAAAGACACTTGTTTTTGTCTACATTTTAACAATTGTCTGTAGCGACACATCACATTGTCAATATAAAGGTTAACCCAATGGCTTGCTACAGCTTTATCTGTGTGAATCTTTTTAGCAAAACTGTGCAGTTCTAGCTAGATCAACCACACACATACCGTCTCCATGTTTACGAATGGTCTCTATTATTTTTCTTCTGTTGTCATCCTCAACTATTTTCTTTGGTTGAACTTTACCACTGATTTTCATGGGACCCATGGAATGATATATTATAAGAACTTATGGTAAACAAAGCACAAAAACAGTGAAATTGTTCACAGAGAATTAGTGTGTTTGTCACTAGACAGCCTACAAACGTAAACTGAACTTACTGACATGGATAAGAATGAACGAGTGTTGTACTCTGTAGCTAATGTCATACGTCATAGCATATTTTCTGGTGAAATTTTCCCCATACACTGAAAAATTTGTATTCAGGTGCAATTATACACCGAGGTTCCACTGTAGTTAAGTTTTATTTAAATGTTTTTAAGCCCTGCTACCTACCTTGTGGTGGTGCCGGGGATTAAAGGCACCATGGCCTTGTCTCCAACCAGGCCTCTCAGTTGGTCTGGTCTGGTCTACCAGACAACCAACATGTACACTACTTTACATTTTGATTAGGTGAATCATGGATGATAACACAGCTGCATCCCGATGCTCAGCCTCAGCGTTAGTTTGGACAAACAATCCTCTTGTTATAGATCATTAATGCTTCACTGAACAATTTGTACTGAATGCAATTAGCTTGGATCATCCAAAAATTTGGTAGAATGGGTTTCATTGGAGTGAGATGCATTGTATCTGATTATCTGTGCGATTTCAAGTCTGAAATTTCTGAAGATGCATCTACATTATTTAGCTGTTCATCAATGTACTCGTCTAATTGCACTGTCCTAATTTTTGTTGTGGGGGTTGAGCATGGGCTCTTTGGTCCCACCTTTCAACTGACAGTCAACTGGTAATTACCTAAGCGTAGTTACAGGATGAGAGCTACGCTTGTGGTGTCCCTTCTTCCCAGCACCCTTTTGTCGTGTAACGGTTTGAAACTATTGATGGTTTTGGCCTCCACCACTTTCTCACTTAGGTTGTTCAAATCGTCTACAACTGTTTGCAAAAGAAAATGTTCTAATATTTTTAGGCACCTCTTGTTTCCATAGCGTGAATCTGTGTCCTCTTGTTCGTGAAATTGCTGGTTTCAGGAATTCCTCTTTGTCAATTTGGTTAATTCCTGTTAGTATTTTGTAAGTGGTGATCATGTCGCCTCTTTTTCTTCTACCTTCTAGTTTTGTTACGTTTAATGCCTCTAGTCTCTCCTCTGGTGTACAGGTTCCTGATTCTATTGGGCTCTATCTTTCCTATATTTTAAACTGTATAGAGTCTGCCTCCACCACATCACTGCTTAATGCATTCCACTTATTTATTATTCTGACACTTTGAAAAAATTATTTCTAATGTCTATGACTCATTTGGGTAGTACACAGTTTCCAACTGTCCCCCCCTTGTGCAAGTACCACCCATGTTAAATAATGAATTTCATGTCTCCCTGAACTATTGTCTTCCGGTAAAGTGAGGTGTAATTCGTGCAGCCTTTCCTCATAACTCATACCTCTCAGTTCTGGAACTAGTCTAGTGGCATACCTTTGAATCTTCTCCAATTTCATCTTATGCTTGACAAGGTATGGAGTCTATTCCGGGTGCTGCATACTCCAGGATAGGTTTTACATGTGTGGTATGTGTTTACACACCAGTGTAATTATCTAAGTGCACCTGTAATTACCTAAGTGTAGTTACAGGATGAGAGCTCCATCTTCCCAGTACTCTTAGTCATGCAGTATAATGCTTTGACACTACTGACAGTTTTGGCCTCTTATCATCTCATTGTTCCAACCATTTACTATTCTGTTTGCAAAAGAAAACTTTCTAATATTTTTTTGACATCTGTGTTTCCCCTAGTTTGAATTTGTGTACTTGTGTTCCTGAAGCTGCTGGTTTTAGGAATTCCTCTTTATCAATTTGGTTAATTCCTGTTATTATTTTATAAGTGGCGATCATATCATCTCTTTTTCTTCTATTTTCTAGCATTGGCACATTTAATGCCAAAGCTAGTCTCTCATCGTAACTCATATTCTTCAGTTCTGGAAGCCACTTTGTAGCATGCCTTTGCACTTTTTCCTGTTTATTGATGTTCTTGAGATATGAGCACCATACAACTGCTGCATATTCCAATTTTGATCACAAAAGTCAACAGTTTTTTTAGTATTTCACCATCCATGTAGTTAAAAGCGAATCTGAAGTTGGAAAACAACACATACGCTCCTTGCACAGTTTTCTTTATGTGATCCTCTGATCACATAAACATAATGAAATTATAAATATAAATAAAATTATTTGTCTGATGCGAGAAATAAATTGAAAATAAAATAAATACGAATTAAACACAATTGTTGAACGAAAAGAATTTTAATGAATCAAAGAAGATTTTTTTTAATGCATGTACTGTACAGGTATATTGTATACTGTCCTGTATACGAGACATAATGCCTTTATTGCGTAAGGTGTATTTATCGATTTTACACAAGGAATTTTTTAGACTTTAAAACATATTTGATAAAATAATTGAAAATTTATAAAGCACTTTGACTAACCAACATTGTTTACTTGATACAGGAGCCGGAGAATCAGGGAAAAGCACCATTGTGAAGCAGATGAGAATTCTACATGTCGATGGATTCAGTGAAGAGTAAGTACATTAATGAACATGCTTAACACAATGGGAAATGCATTAAGTGCATGATAGTAATTTAACATTGTTTTCCTGGCTAGGCAGAAGCATATGGATATGCACATGACCTCAGCCTCTCATACTGATTCAACTTATATTGTGCCTTTCTGTGATGTAATTTTAATTCTGAGGACTCAACATAACTTGTCGGGACGGACTTGCGTGGAATGTTATCCGGGTATAGTATACAGGATATTACCCACTGGGTGGTAAGAACTCAGATGAGGAGTTGAAACATTTGTTTGAATATTTCTACATGCTAGTTTACTATCATACGTGAGGCTGTTGCTACATTATAGCAGATGAAGCATACATATAAAAAATAATGAAAATTTATTCTGGAGTTTGCATACAGTTTGAAACGGGAAGTAGAAAGGAACAAACGGTATACAATGGAACCTTGATTAACCAATTTAATCCATTCCGGCACCGAGTTCATCATGTGAAACGCTTGTCTTTCGAAACGAATTTCCCCATTTAAAATAATGGAAATAAAATTAATCCATTCCACCCCCAAAAACATCAATATGACATTTTATAATGTAAATATAATACTGTACATGAAATTATAAATGTTTTATTTTACTGTTTTCAATTGTACATGTACTTTACCTTATGAAGAGTCGTTGCTGGCTTGAGGGAGACAATGGGGAGGTGGGAAGAAGGAGAGGGGGTTACAGTGTGGAAGGAGAATCCCCTTCTGAGTCAGGCGGGCTTAATCTTCTTGGAAATTTCACCACACTGAGACCAGGTTGTGGTTCACTATCACGTGCCAGTCTTTTCTTTACCTTTCCAAAGAATGTATCTATTGATAATTGCTTCTATCTTCATTTTAGGATGTCCCAAAAATGAGAGAGCACATTGTCATCAAACATGTTCACCCACCCTGTTGTCAATGCTTTAGCAGGGTGACGCTTTTCCAAGAATGCGGTTACCTTTTCAAACATTCCCAACACTTCCCTAATCTCACTGGAAGAGGCGGCATCCTCCCTTACCTCCTCCTCCCCCTGATGAGAGCTCTTGTATCTCCTCTTGACTCGGCTCCTTCTGAAGTTCCAAGAGTTCCTCAGTGGTCTGAGGAACAGAGCACAGTGGAGGAGCACACTGATCGCTGTGCTCCTCCACTAACTCCTGCACATCAGCAGTATCCAACTCCAGACCCAAAGTTTGCCCCAGAGCAACAATATCATCCACTAGATGCACTTCCGGGTCGTCCACAGGTGCAGGTGCATGACCGAAACCTTCGAAGTCTCACTCAGGGACACCCTCAGGCTGCAGGTTTTGCCATGTACTTGTTTAAAACTTGTTCGAACAAGTTTTAACACTTCCTAACCAGTTGTAACAACCAATATAGCAAGTTGTAACAACATTCTAATATGTCAAAAACAGGTTAAGCCAAGATGTAACAACTTTATTACAAGTTGTAAAAAGCAGAAAATAGAGACAGTTTCGGTTTGTGTTTCCAGGAAGCAGATTTACATCAGTCTTTTGCTGCTGTGCTGGTTGCAGTATGGGGTTTCCAGTTCCTATCAATCTTGTCATCTGCTGAGCAGTTAATGTCTTTTTGTTGGAGAGTTGTGATTTCATTTGGTTTCAACAAGTCACCGAACTGCATGAGGTTGACGGGTGCTTCCCTGTACTGCAGAATCTTCTAGGCAAGTTTTAAACACAAAAGTATACTATGGAGTTGACCACTTTGCTAGCTGATCCTGTCATTGATATGTAAGTGACAGAATTAATGATCTCTGAGAGAGAACTTAGTTTAGGCACCTGGGTGCTAAACACTCACAATGTAGGATTCCCAACCATCCAAATGGTTTGACACCCTTTCTTACATCGTATCCCAAATCCTTGCCTTCATATCCTTTCCAAGTGCTATATGGGCATAATGGCTTAGCATTTTCTGCTGAGTGACCTTACCTTCCTTGTAGGATGAATGGGAGATGTTAATATTTGCCCTTTGTAACATAACCATATACAGTATGCTACATTAAGTCTGGAGTATACCCTACGATAGATTTAACTTTAGAATTTTGAGATGTTGTGGGGCTGACAACAATCTTTACAGCAAGAGAAAATAGTGATGGTTTGGTCAAAGTAGTGGGAAGGTTTGCCTCAAGCCAGCCACCATGAGGTGGTTGGCTTGAGTGAGTGGGGGGGGACTTGTAACCCTCATAGGCCTATGCACTACTTTTATTTCACTCATAGCTTCTAGCTAATAACACATTCAATTATGTCAATCACCTCCCCACCTCTCCTCTCTCTCTTGCTTGCTCTTTCGAAAATTTGAGTTCTAAAACACTTACACAACAACAACACTCACAAAAACACTGATTCAAGTTTGCGGAAAAACCACATTTGAAAAAATTGAGAATGCTGAACGTATTTTTGGCTCAATATGCTTTCATAAGCAAGGTAGTGACACTATTTTGCTCTGATGGAGGTGAAGTGAGCTGAAATAGTGTTAAGCATTCTCAAATTTTTCAAATGTGGTTTTTCCACACACATACTGGATTCTTACCTTCACCTTCATTCAAGCACTACGGCATTGTAGTAAGTTTCTTTATTCTCATCTGTCATTGATATAGTTTCTCTCTCCTTCCATTACTCCCCACCCCTTTCCTCTCTCTCACCCCTCTCTTCCCCACTCCCACTACTCCTCCTCTCCCTACTTCCCCTCTCCTTTTTCTCCAATCATGTCGGTGTTTAATATATATTTAAATTTAAGTATTGTTCTTTTTGCAGAGAAAAAAGAGAAAAGATCCATGCCATCAGGTGCAATATCCGCGATGCCATCTTGGTGAGTAAGATCATTTTTGTTTTATCCTGTCTGTGATGTCTTCTGTTCAATCAGTCAATGGAGACTTCTTACACCTGACGACTTCTCGCACCGTGATAACTGTCGCTGAACATGATTCCATTATGCCACGTTATATTATCTTGGCATGTTAGAAGTATCAGGTTCGCCACCATCTTCTAATGTTGTCCTACTGTGGACAATGCTGTCGTCATGCAGTGCAGTACTGTGGTAAATTCGTTATGGAGTGGGAACCTTTTTATATTTCTGCCTAACTTATTGTACAGCATTGTTTTTGTCTAAATCTCAACTGCATTGGTATTACAATATTTTTTTTATGTGGTGAACACGAAAAATACAGCATATTGTCAAGAAGCTAAAGTGACACATCGCACTCCTCTTTCATTACACATTGTTAATCACTTCTGGAGGGGGAGGTGTATAAGTAGCTTGCATTCTTTTTCCCATAGTGTTCCCACAATCCACTGTGCTCTCCCCCTCCCTTCTCCCTCTTCCCCCCCCTCTCCCTCCCTCCCTCCCTCCCTCCCTCCCCTGCTCCCTCCCCCATCTCCCCCTTCTCTCTCCCTCCCTCCCTCCCCCGACAGGAGGGAGAAAATAAAATACTGCTAGAAAACCTCGCAGAACCTGCCCCAAATATCATTTGTTTGCTGACCTTAACTTACGACATCTAAAAATGAAAAGTGTGGCAAATACAGTTAAACCTGAGATAATCTCAGGAAACAGTCTTAAATGAATAGTCACAAACAAATGACTCATTGCAAACGTTTGACTGATTTGCCTTAAACTAGCAAATAATAGAACCAACTAGAAAACACCTTAAATCATATTTTCACAAAGATGAACAGAGTAGTAAATTTATGATTACAAATACATGTTAATTAGATCACAGCTTAATTGAAGTTGAGACAATTATGGTCAATAGACCTGTGCTGCCAGTCATAAATCCAAGAGAAGGAGAATTGAACAAATTTAATATGTATATCAAACTGTTTAACTAGTTACAAATAAACCAAGACCTCAGTTGAAATTTGTGTGGAAGAACAGCTAGATAATGCAAACCTAAAGCTATGCTGATAGGCACAGTAGCACTTGAAATGTGTAGAAATCCCAGTAAATACCCAGGAAATACCAGTAAAGAAAAATAAAAAGATGCAAACTGGAACGAGAATGACGTTTCCTTTATAGGCGAAGAAAATAAATTGCAGAACATTTCAAACGTTTCATTGTATCCCAACACAGCATTAGTTCTGTTACAGAAACAGTATTAGTAAGTTTGTTTCTACATAAGAAGTTGTACTAATTGTTACATATAGTATTGATAGTTACAACATGTAACTAGTTGTTACATAAATAATATTGATAGTTACAACATGTAATGAATGACCTTTGTTACAGATCGAAATGTCTTCGTAAAAGTTTGTCTTAATTTGTAATCGAGAACACTCGATTACAGTCAATTAAATCAAATATACAATTAATTACGTTAATTACTGTCACCCAGACACCTAATCAAAGACAATTTACGCCAAGTACAATCTGTCACTCAGACAGCTAATCAATCAAAACAATAACTCTTTACATTAATTACCGTCACCAAGACATTCAACATTCAGTGAGTAACTACTTTATCAATCTGTCACAGACAGTTAATCAACCAAGATGAATTACGTTAATTACGCTATCACACAGACAACCCAGTAACAAGATATCACTTGTTCACTTCAATTCACAACACAATAAACTCACTTCACTATACGATAATTCACACAAAGTACAACACAGCAATAATCACAACACAAAGTAATTATTTGATAATTAATAGTAATAATCACGGTATGACAGACAAACCCACTCAAATGACTTATACAATCTCTGGTTTTCTGAAAGGAGATAGAAACATTACATGGAAATCATGTCAATACGTTTCGGTATCATTTAACTGTACAATCAAATACACAATGAGCATAACAGTGACTAAATGTGGTTTGTGTGTTACGCATGCACACGCCACAAAGAATTCAATCACTTGACGGCTGTAAACATCAGCTGGCTCTTAAGTGTTTATTTACCTCGGCTTGTTTTCTCATACCCGTTCCAGGCGACACGAGACGAACTCTAGTCGTATGGTTGGTATCAGATCAACACAAGAAAAACTCGGTAATAAAACAGAGAAGATATAATTATGCTCACTTAAAAGACCGGCCTTTGTCACTCAAAATCTTGCATACATACAACAGTCGGACTGTAGAAGCTTTGATGATCTTTCTCCAGCATTTCTGCACGTGGTAAATCACGCGAGATATCAATGACACAGGGTGGCAGGTGTAGACATTCGAGCTCCGACCGCATGTGGTTACTTGCCAGTAATAATGCCTCTCACAGGTGGCAGCGGTAGACACGTGTGGTGTGTGCACATTTCAAACAAAGGGCCGCACGTGGTTACATGCTAGAAAACACGTGGGGCGACCAGATGGAGGGGTGTGGCTGACGAGTCAGACGCACAGCGGCCCGTAGCCTGGTGTAAACACAGCTGGGAGGCGAGTGGCGTCTACACAAGGGTGAAATTGGCGCACGCTAAGCACTGGGTGGCGCGCACAGGTGAGACACTGGGTGGCGGCGGCATGGTGATTTGGCGGCAAATATGGAATCAATGCTTATTGTGAGATTATTTTTGGGGAGACACTAATACAAATGCCCTCAGTCAGAAAGGATTGCACAAACCAGCACATTAAATGCCAGATGTGTAGATTATACTTTTAAAACTGAAATAAATGGTGGGAGCAACCGCCTGGGTTCCAAGTCAATTGGACCCTTATCCACTTTGTCGTTAAGCTCCTAAAATGCCAATGGCAATGTTAAGGGTAGTTTGCGGATTCTCTCACCGAATTTAATATTCAGTGATAATGGCTATGAATCAAGTTAGAATCCAGGAGCAGGCTTTCATTAAAATGGCAAGAAATAGTTCAGTATATTGCTGCATGAGTGAGGCAATAATATTGGAAGGTATTGCCATAGACACTTTTCTTTTGGCAACAATAACATTTATTCTCAAAGACTTAACTCTATTACAAGGTACAACAATCTTGACGTTATGTTAATGTCCCAAAGTGACACTACGGACAGCTATCCAAACAGCAGTATAACAAGGATTCCTTTCCTTGCCGCTCCTAAGTATAGTGAGGATTACGATCCGTACCACTCTGGGTTGGTATAATCAACTAACTGAACAATATCAAGTGCTCACTTGGGAATCAATATGCAAATCAATTACAATAAAACAATTAATAACAATGCAGACAACAAGATGGGTCACCGAGACGGACTCTGGTAACCCTCTTTAAGTACGTTAACACTCGTCTCTGGATGGCAATCAAAGCACCAGTTAATTACCCTAATTAATCTCTGAACCGATTACTTTAATTACTGTCATCCAACAGTCAACAATAAGGTAATCTATCGTAATCACAACCTGTCTCTCAGACAGTTAAATAAAACAAAACAATAATTTGCTAACCGTAATTACTGTCACTCAGACCAATTAAATACTTGGTGAGTAATTACAATAATTACTGTCAAAAGAACAGATAATTAATTAATAACGAATTTACGTTAACTCAACGCTGTCACACTCAGCTTGTCAAACACGAATATCACTTCACTTGATACCACCAGGTATCAACCGGGTGGCGGAGGCGCGTATGGGGTGAACGTACGTCGTAGGCGACACAAGAATGTAAACACGTTACGGAACAAGGGGTGATGGCTCTGTTTAGGCGGGAATCACACTGTCCACAGAAGTGACGATAATTCACTTAATTACCTCCGGAGGATTCACAATCACTGGGTAACCTTTCTTTATTCCCTCTTAGTCAAGTACCGTAGCCATATGATGACGGATGACTATGGATGCTGACGATCATGGATCTTTTGAAGGGCTGGAAAAGAGCCAAGATAATTTTGGTGCGTCCAAGTAATGAGAGAGAGAGAGAGAGAGAGAGAGAGAGAGAGAGAGAGAGAGAGAGAGAGAGAGAGAGAGAGAGAGAGAGAGAGAGAGAGACAGAGACAGAGAGACAGAGAGACAGAGACAGAGACAGACATCGGAGAGAATTAACAATGCAGTCGCGTAGCTCCTGCGGGATCATGTGGTAGTACACTGACTATCTCGAATCGCGATTAATCTTCCACACCCGCACCAATTGAATTCTGACTGCAATTCGCGGTAGTGGGAATCAGAACGGATTGATGAGATGATTAATAACGCCTCGATAACGGAGATTGGTACTATTGGCCGATAGCACAATCTTTCACGTCCGACAAAGGCAATCGCTGAGTACAGAATACCCACTCCAGGACAATTTACGCAAGCGAGGGAAACGTTAGCGCTCCCGGCCACAAGTTCCTCCTGCTCCTCTTATCTCCATACACTTAAATGTTAATTTTATATACGATAAGTCAAAATGGAAAGAACACGTGGAGAACATACACAGAAGTTAACTGGTAATATTAGAGGGTATAGAGAAGTTACACGTTTACACTTAAATGAGTTGGAATATGTTTCTCTAAACAATGTTCACACAGGGAAATGTATTATTGAACTTGGATGTCCTAAACTTGAAATACTATAAACAACCAATTTTACTCTTATTAAATAAGGAAAATATGTATATATATATATATATATACACACTAGTATTGGTGTGAATTGATGAGACATGAAGTGGTAATGGTAACTGTAAGGTGGAGATGATGTTGAGCGGTGTGATGGGAAGTAAAGAGAACTAAATAGATGTTTTCACAAAAAAATGGAGCCTAAAAAAAAATACAGTGATAAACGATACAAATGAATGGGAAAACGATTACAAGTGATGTGGAACAGAGAGGTAGTGAGTGAGTGGGGGGGTGGGGTGTTAAGTGCGCGAGGGTAGAGGCAAGTGCAGGAGCCAGGTAGAGTAGTTTAGTAGATGTCGGGGCAGGCTGATGAG